TACATTCACAGTTTTGAAGATAATCCCACAAGCACGTGAAATAGGCTACTGTCAAAGCAAGTGACTGAAAGAAAATTACCTGTCTCCAATCGCTGTGCGAGTAGTCTAGCTCATGTGGTTGGTCTACACCAAGGTACACTAACCAATACCTCCGGAAACGGATAATCCGAGAACATGAAGATATAAGGAATTTGTGGGGAATTCACTATCTCCTGGGAAATACAAAAAAACTTAGGATAAGTGTTCTAATAAGCCGCTGTTTAGGCAAATTTACTCGATCTGGAGGTCCAAAATCCCGCCCACATTTCCGTCCAGAGGAAACTCACTCTGTTATTTAGTTTTGGTTAAAGGTTAACCAACGATACTGGAATTGGCCTTCGTTTACTAAAATTTCTTGGCTGGATGCTGGGCTCATCCTAAAAGTCCGTCCTGAAAGTGGACTTTATCTGGAGAGGAAGCTGAACTACCCTTTTTGGAAATCACCCCAAAAGTACAGGTTGGCCATTTTCGAGATAAGTGTGCCAGCCTTGTGCATCCACGCCAAAAGATGTCTCAGGCATTCAGGATTTTACAGCTAAGTCCACAGCATTCCTTTGCTCGGGCAATACGACTGCTGCTGCACGAATACTGCGGCGAATAAATTCATGAACGAAGTTTAAGGAACAACTTTCGAAATGCAAACAGCGAATGTCAGAGTTATCCATCCCATGAACATCCGCCTTGGACAATGTACACCAAGTAGCTGTGCACTAACATCAAACATTACCATATCGTGTAAAACAAGCCCAACGTCACCAATCTGGACAGTTATTTTAACTGATGTTTTCTGTCAGACTACGAAAATTCCCTATGGGTTTTTAAACGGATGTTGATAGGCCGTTTTTTATTTGAAAGGCCAGTGAAATAAGTAGGTCTGTGGGACTAAACATCAACAGTGTTGTGGCGTTTTCATTCCAACGGCGCAAGTGTTCAAACTTATAGCTACTGAGCACTCAGTGAGCCACCTAATATATTTGGTCTTTGCTGGTGAGAAAGATTGCCGGACACCGGATAAAAATCATAATGCAGTTCTCTCTTCCCAACAGAAATTGCGTAAAGCCGTGACTATGATCGTTGCAGCTGATGGATGCAAAAAGTTTTGGGCTTTTTTAAATAATGATTGAGATTTTTACTTCATTTGTACGCGCCTCATCCTCTCTCATAGGCTGCCGTTCTTCTTCGTTAGCCAGATTACTATATGTGGTTCACGACAAAGTAAAAAACATGGTACTCACTTTTTCACTTCAGTACTGCTTATAGGCAGTATATATCCTTGGCCTCATTGGGACCTTGACTACGGTTGCGTAATATGAACTGTGTACCTGATAACAGCCCCTTAACAGCGCGAACTGAAGCTGCTTCAACTACCAGGTTAGGCAGGGAGACATCCTTACGCTTGGACAAATAATTCACTTCGCCCATCGCACCTACGGGCGACACATATACTGTCCTCAATGTAATGACCAATTAGACAGCTACTCAAGATATCCCCAATTCTGGAGTACTTGAAATCCCAAGTGTGGGTGGAAGGAGGTTTGCGAAAAATGGGCGGAGCTGTCCAAAACTACTAAGTCCTGCAGCCACTAAGCAACATGTTGTGTCAAAAATGAAGCTTTGAATGTGTGTATCACTGACTGCCCTAAAAATTCTGTTTTGGGATCATTTGAAAGGAGCTCTACACTCAAACGAACCTATCCTACCGGAGGCTTTTTTGGAGTTTATAATTTGGGTTATTTCGGTGATGCCGTTGAGGTATGCCTACTGCGCTTGTTTCGTAGTTTATAGTTTCGGGTTTCAAATCTCTTCTGGACAGAGAATGTTCAGTGGTGACGAGCTCCGCTAAGTGACGCGAGAGCGCGGTGCTTATAAGCACTCACGTCGACCGAGAAAATTAATTAAAGTTGGACGGAGGGCTTTTTAAGCAACAGTGATGTAGCTAAGAACATAATGGTCCCAAACTGGAACATCCAGTGTACAGCCTATCCGTACAAATTTATCACATTTAATTAAAGGCTAAATGCCGATCAAAATTTGAAATGATAGACTGCAATCTGGTATTTTTGGTCACTTGGACGTTTGTATATTTTCAGTCTAGGCCAGGTCAACATCAATCGAAAGCAGCTAGTGTTGAACTGAGTACTATGGGTCGTTTGCGTCTATGTTCCCTTAGTTGAGCACGATGTGCAACTAACCTTACTGGATAACATCCTGTTCTTTTTTTACGAAGACTCCATTGTCAATGTGCAATCAAACTGCGCTGAAGTTTCTTAACCGTGCAGGCAAAGCTCACTGATTACGTACTGCTCTTACTTGCTGCCCCAGTCGGTTCACTGTATTCGGTTCCGTCTTGCTTGCACGTCCCTTTTTGTCCCGTCATCACGCACTATTGATCAAATACATTATACCAATCACAGTAGACCTATCCAGCACGCTGTCTGTGAACCGGTTGATTGCTCGGCGAACCCAGATCAGCGGTAACATTTTAAACTAGAAGATCAGTTTGACTGCCGGTGAAACAAATTAGTCACACTTCATTGCTTCAAGGCTGCAGTTCTCATTGTACACGGGCGACAGTCTGTAGACAGATATTCGGTCTCATGATTACAAACCACAAGTTTTCTTGACAAATCCAGTTTGAGCCGTTGACAAAGACAGAGTAATCATTTACACATGACTCAAAACAGATATTAGAAATAGTAAATTTGATCAGGCTGAAGACAGACAGGGAGATAACTGGTCAGATAGCCATGTATAAAGATAAAACGCACTGGCTCAAAATGAGGGGTTGGCTGGTACGGTCAGGTAGTCTGTCCCAAAATTGTCGCATGAGGATCAAAACGTTCGAAGAAACAGAGCATTTCATCCTCTTTTAGCAGTAAAGTTGCTTCCTTAATAAGCCTCATTATTTTCAAAACCGATTAGGCACACAACGTAAATCTGTATTCCTGGGTTGTAACCTTATTATTCGTTCGCCATCCACCGTTTTTCGTTCACCTGTTTGTTAGAGCTCTCTCACTAACTTTCGGAGCAAGTAGTTCCTCTAAATTCGCTATTGCTGTCAAACTCAGCTGCATTTTCGAGTTGAAGCTGAGATCTCCTCAAAGGACATGACAACATATATACGCAGCCAGGTTTGTCAGTGGTAGTTTGAATTTGTTCCGTGGACTGATAAAGCTTGACGTGTCACTGCTGTCTAATGGCTGCACTAATATGGATGAAATGTGACCTGAGTGGGCTGAGTATCATGATAAAAGGTTTGACAACTTATATGCTACATTAGTCAACATTATAAATTCGAAAAGGGGCACACGGGGTCCACTGTCGAAGAATAGCATGTGGTAATGGACACATATCATGTATGAAAGAATTTCCGGGCCTTAGGCAAACAACTCAAAATTCTTTTCATTGGCATCATCATCCCGTTGTGCGATGCTATGCAAAACGACTCTTTAGAGCACTAAATTCCCAAAAAATCTGTCGACATGGCTAACGTGTGTGAAATATCAGCAATTCAGCTTAGTTGTTTTCCTCTCAGAACACAAAAGCTGGCCTCGGTGAAGGCATTTTGAAACGGAAATTTGCTCGAACAGAAGGGTCCTGAGTTCGATGCAAAAACAACCACACCTTGATGCCTACCGAATACCAATCAACCAACCATCCTAGAGACGGCTGAAAGTATGCGCTGGCGTACAGCATCAAACAGTTTCTGATTTCAGGAAACGCCCGACAAAGCAGTATGAATTACGATCCGATGAGTCTTATATTTACATAAAGCGATGAAACATTTCAGGAAAAAGCAACGTTGATAGTTCGCAAAATGAGATACAAGCTTGACTCAAGATGACCTACCTATCTCTAACAAGTTTAATGCAGACTGTTGTAGTTCAGCTAATGCCGGTGACAAACGTTTACACCCACGTTAATCATGGCATCAGATAGTGAGCTGCTAGATGGGTGCAATAATGAAGTCACTTTTAAACAGAACAACACAAATGTTTTATGAATTGACAGTTCGGTTAATAGAGCTTCTCACAACCCATCAGAAGAAATGAGTGATTATGGTGATGAAATGGGTCGAGCAGAACGATGGAGAAATATTCACGTCGCAGCTTAAATTTGTGTTGTATCACCCAGAGTATGGCTGTGTTTATCTAACAGGACTGCGTGCTTTCATGTCATGGTGAAAGGTGTGCGTAGCAAATTTGTTTTTCTTGACTAGCTCATACCCCTGATAACAAAACAGGCTATTTTCTAATGCACTGCTCATAAGGTTGCTGGAAATTTGTCGACAGCCAGCCACCGGTTTCGCCAGTGAGTCTTTAAAAAAAACAAATTTGTTTGCAAATGAGTGTATTTCGCCAATTTCGTGCAATTTGGATTGATTTAGAACTTAAGGTTGACGAAAACTGGAAGACTGCTCCTATCTGATAAGCCACAAGAAAGGCGAAACCGGTCATGGGCTGTCGAAGAGTTTTCATCAACCTTGTGAGTACTTTCCTTCATGAAATTATAGTGCGATATCTCGGATATCGTGCCAAGTAAAACGTGAAGCGGCCTGTATGCAGCACATTCAGTCGTAGAATATAATAAGCGAGAGATTCAGTTGAGTCTCTCGTGAAAACCAAATTGATTTGCAAATAAGTGTATTTCTCGAAAACAGTCCAATTTGGGTTCAAGTGAAACATAAGGAAATTCGTGGACTGCGTCTACCTGATGAGCCCAAACTGGAAGGGCGAAACCGGTCGTGGGCTGTAGGAAAGTCTTCAGTAACCTTGTGAGTAGTTTCCTTTGTGGAAACTTTCAGAGGTTTTCTAGTTTAAATTTCGTTAACGCAGGATTCTATGCACCAGCAAATCGGGGAACTCACCAAATATTGCACGTGTGGACCCAGAGCATCGTAGCCTGTCACCAGCATCCCTGCACCATAGGGCCGGTTACCGTATCGTTGAGTAGGGTTTGCATTATAAGGGATATCGCTGACAGGAGTCTGGAAGTTGGAAGCGGCTCGTCGTACGCCCAGCGGTTTTCAGCGAATTCCCGGGCATCGTTCGACTCAACATACGTCCATGAGCAGTCAGTCCCGATATAGCAACTCCAACATAGTCATCTATCGTTACTGTTTTTTCCTGATATGAAGATACCTCGAACAGTGCTCCTTTAGGCGCGACAACCAACGCCTGGTCTTAATTTTTCAAAGCAATAGCGGCCGATCCCTGTTTACTCGCCTCCATTGCATACTCAATCTGATGAATACGACCCTGCGGACTCCAAACGGTAACATCGTGATCGTACTGGTTGCGGAACAAATTTCACAAGCCCACAGAATGAAAAACGCCTTGAGCACACGCCAATGCGCGTGCGGTGACGCCGCGGAAAATTTTATTTATTCCAATCCATTGAAGTTCCTCTAGGTTGGTCGGACCGGCGCCGGATTATACGAAGGATGTGAATTATCCAGCGGAATGCGAAATGACTATGAACGCAATATGTGAAAGCGTTGAAAAGTGTGAAAATATTATTGCACGTAAAAACGTTAGATGAGTTGTGCATGATCCATCAACCCTCGTCACGTTCTACATACAGCGGTCGCACAGACTAATTAGCGAGTCTAATTAATAAAGCTAATAAAGTATTTTGCTCGAGCACTTTGAGTGAGTGGCAAAATCCATCTAAGGAATACCAGAAAATCATGTTGCTGACTTGGGCGTAGGCTTGGATGAAAAATAGGCCTATTCACAAAAATCGAATATCTGCAAAATTCTTAGCTCAGGGCAGCGCAGGAGTTCAGTACTGAAGCTCAAATCTTAGCAGTGAGAGATTTCTTGTTCCTAACAACAATACCGAAAGAACAGTTGCTTCTGCTGTCTTCATTTAAAGTGAAATGGTCTAGATTTTCCCTGACGCGTGAACCAGTCTTCCTGAATAGCTGGAGCCCTGACTAATTCAAATTTAATGCATCGAGTTGCAAAAGTATGCTCAGTCTCAGACTTTAATGTCGCAAAGCAAAGGCTCAGTTTTTATTTCCAAATCACTCCTTTATTATCCTATATGACCGACTCTTTTAAAAGGTATAGGGGTTGAGATGTCAAGTTTTCGACGACAACAATCTTGCAGCTGCAACTAACTAGAAGTCAACCGAAGTTAAATTCTAAAAGACTACAGGTTTTCAAAATCGCAAAGTCTACGGAGATTTTGTGAAATCTGGTTGCACGTTTCAGCTATGTTGCCCATAGGGTTTTAGGTGAGCAAACCTTTGATGTCACTAACAAACTTTGGTCCGCATGTGATTACCAGTCCACAAGATAAACGGTATCCAGTTTTGGGATATTTTGAGGTTCCGCCATGTCCTCTAAGTGAAAAAAGACATCTGCAAAATAGTTCATGTCAATTCTACCCAGTACGATTGTTGTATAATGTTTGTGTGTGTTACACTCGTCAGGCATAATAAGTCAGATTACTCTGCTCACCGGATTTCGGTAAGGCGCGGCTTCTGGGATGCTCGCCTCGAGTTCATTGTGATGATACAATAAACGGTGATCTTTTGTGCAATAAAGATGCGTACCTATGGATGATCCCAGTTCTCCAACTTGAGAACTAACCAGGAGACAAAGCAGTGTCGTCGGCTTGTTCGCTGAGCTGGGCAATTTGATTGGAAACATTTCATCACCAACCGAGGTGATGTCATCAGTGCTTTATTGGCGAGCGTAGTGGTGCGCAGTGTTGGGTTAATGGTTGTACGTTGAGGATAATCTTGAGTGTACAGTAGTCCTCGGTTCCAAAAGGCAGAAACAGTTTGCTTCTGCAAGCGAAGTACGAACGAATGTTTTCACTTGGGCAAAATATCATTGTCTCTCCCGTGTTTATCTTGTGTCACAGATCTAATGTGTGGATGATGATGGTTGACGCTCTAGTGTGTCTGGGCCTTCAGCCCGATACAAGAACACAGATCTCACTAGTACAGTTTCTGCAATGGAATTACTATACGTCACAATGTTGAACAAAATGCCCTTTTTCACATAAATGAAGTAACAGATAGCTCAAGAAGCATTTGTAATAATTAATTCACGATGGAATGGGGGGTTAGATACCGTGACAAATAACCAACTTTCTTGAGGATTTTTGAATTCAAAGCAATAATCATGAAGGGTTGATTGTCGAGCACAGCGGGTATTCACTGAGAATAAATAGTGTAAGAAAGGAAAGTACAATAATGACAATATCGAAATATTTCATAAATAGTGTAACTATTAATAAATCTAATTTTATATCAGTTTTTAGTGTCAAAAATACCGAATATATACAACCCGTGAGGGAAAGATGACAGTTCGTTTAAATTCGATCAAATCCTGGTGTAAGCCAAGACGCGGTAGCAAAATGTACCAAAACAGGTATTATATTTAGTGTATTTTACTTATTTGCCCTTGATTTCTGTTGTACTGTTCCACAAACAGTTGACGCGTGAAGAAAAGTCGCCTCCAGAAAAAGCATGGACTATTCCGACCCAAACTTATTCTTGGGATAGGTGAGATAATGATTCAAATCCCGAAATGCAGTACGACCTACTCACTAGAGTTCAATGTACAAAACAACTACTGAAGGACATTTTAGGCATTATTTGAGCAATTTGCAAACATGTGCTTTGGCATATCCTGTCCTGGAAAAGTTGAATGGAAATTCTGCTGGTCAAGGAGACAATATATTCGGTTACTTTTGCATAGAGGAGTCAGTGTGACGACGCAGTATTTCCCAACTGTACGGAGCACTAATATGTTTACCTACTGTCCGAGCTGAACGCAGCGAAATTAGTCTGGCCTGACTACTTTTGTTTCCACCAGAAAGGTGTCAAAGTTCCTAATGGGGGTGCCACAGCGAGAAGGCTGCTATCGAAGCCATGTATGAACCCTATATAACCAGGGTACACAGACATGACGTTGAATGAATAAAGCTTATCCTGGATTCAATAAATACAATCATGTTCGCTGACTGAAACGGTGGATCATCTCTTAAACCTAGCCTACAAGCAAGATGATGCTGCCTTCCGGGGAGATGATCTGTCGATCATGTACAAAGAGTCTATTAGTGAAGATGACCGAATGGGCCGTTCAACACATTTGCATACAAGTTAATCTGATTTCAGCTTCTTTGTGCGAGACAAAACAGTCTGAATTTACCTATAACTGGGGACCCATGACTGACAGTATGGAAGACGACTAATTTTACGGAACGTTGCAGATGACAACACAAAATCATACGAAGTCATTCAATGGGCGTTTTGATCCCTCCGATTGATCTCAACTTCCAAGATGGAAAAAAAGGAGCAAGAGTTATGCCTGTCTAACAACGCTCTCAAAACCGACCATAACAAAAAACGGTGGCATCTATTCTGACTACAAAAAAATTGATGATTATTCTTTACGTTCTTGAAACCTGGGTCCGGTACTGCTGTGCCGCTTCGGAGTTCTAAGCTTGTAAGCAACATGCACGAACCCATTGGTTAATTCAGTGAGTTCCAGACGAAGATGCCTCACACCTAGGAGAACGACAAACGAAACTGACTGACGGCTACAGTTTGGCAAACATTCTTCATCTAGACCGATGTGAGTTGTCATTCCTACCCGACAGAGGTGGGATTGTTGCAAGATGGTGGCAAAAAAATTAGGGCACAACTTACTATCTTGCTCGAACACAATTGCGTTCAGAGGTTCGCCTTTGCTTGAACTGTAGTACGAGACAGACGAACAGTGGAAACCGGGGGTGATTCTAGGTAAGGATAGGTTTTGTCGTCTTCAAATGATTAACGTTCATTGGCATTCTTTGTCGATTAACCAATCATGCCCAGCCCTCCGCACTGTCGATGTCACATCGACTGGTGGCGAAACAAAGCCCTTAAGACAGGTAAACTTGGTTCAATCAACCCTCAGATAGGACAAAAATTGGCCAGAGGGAAATTCGAACAATTAAGAAACCACTCTCACTGGGTAATTCATTAGCTACTATCAGACAAAACGTTTTTTAGGCAATCAGTCCCTTTGAACACAAAGAGTACAGTGACCGTATGATGACTGACGTCAATTCATCAACCAGACAATGGATCTAACTATCCGTCCAAACGCGACCGATTAATTTGCGCCCATTTAAAGACGTGGCATTTTGTGAATTGTATATAGAAACTGGTGATTGTATGGTGTGTGTTGTCAAACAGGTTGTACTCCTGAAGGGTAGAGTACATCATGTAAAAAGCGGGGACAAGACTGTGCATCCAAAACGCATTTACTAGGTTTGTTCGATAGGCGGAGTAAAGAAAGCCCCGAAACATCTGGGAGTAAATTTTTACCGAAGTAAAAAATGAACCATAATAAATAAAAGGTGAGGACAAAGAAAAGAGGGGAAAAACTGAGCAAACGTATTCGAGAAATAACTTCCAGTTCCATCAGGTAGACGCAGTCCCCGAGTTTCCATCAACCTCTTGTTCTACTTGAACCCAAATTGGACTGTTTTCGAGAACCACACCACATTGCAAATCAATTTGGTTTTCACGAGAGCATCAAATGAATCT